TTAAATTAATTTTAAATTAAATAAAACGATATTATTTAAAATTAAAATTTTAATTTATTTAAAAATCAAAATTAATATGTATTTTTTACTTATAATTATTTATAATTTAAATAAAATTATAAGTTGCTCCTGGATTTCATGGTCCAACAATTAAAACTCAAATTGTAAAATATACCCCCAACCCTTAGGTTTGGATTCAGATTCCTTCTCCCTCGAATGTAGACGTAAACCCATTCAAAAAAAAAGAAAAAAGAATTATAAGTCACAAGCAATTTAAAATAACTAAATTAATCAGACTCATTATGGAAATACAATAATTTTTTTTTTATATCGCTTACACGAACACGTCACGTGGATGGAGACCATTTTCTTGGTATATGGTTGACAATTAAAAACCATTTTACTAATAAATATCGTGTAAAAGGAAAATTTGTTGAAAATAGAATGGGAAAAACGAGATTGTTAGAAGGAAAGCTACCTGACTGGTCCAGCGTGACAGTTGAATTGATCAAATTTAATAAGATCACGGTTTAATTTGCTATATAAGCACGTCTTCTTTCTGCTTGTGATTATGGAAATTAAGTTCTTTGCGTATTTATCAAATCTACGATTTTAAATTTAACTTATCAAAAAGTCATATAATTAGATCTAAATTTAATTTTCTATAAAACTATACTGGTGCTGGCTAGTTTCTTTCTTCGAAAATGTCTACATTTTTGGCTTGGAAACAGGTTTCTTTTCCATGGTCTTGGTCTAAAACGGAGATTTATTTGAATCATTGCTTTCTATTGCATCAGAAAACTCCAGTTTTCACCCAAAAAATCAATTTTGATTGCGTTGCTTATTCATTGTTGGTTTGGCTTAGAAAAATGGGTTGGGGTTATGATCATATGAAATATTATTAAGGTCACACAATTTAGTTGTTAATTGTTTTATTAATTTATAATTTTTTAAATTAAACAATTATAATATTTAAAAACATCTACTTATAATTTAATTTTAATTTATTAAAAAATAAATAATATTTATTTTATTAATTATTAATTATTCTTAATAATTAAGTTAAATAAAAAATTCTTAATTTATGTGATCTTGATAAGTTTATGAGTGGTCATAACCTCAACTAGAAGAATGGTACTCCAAATCCTTCCTTCGTAAAATCTTCTTATCATATCATTCATGCCAACGCTAGAAAATTTATATGAAATTAATTTATCATAGTTAAGAAAGAAGAGGGGGAACTAATATTGGCATCCAAGAGAAAAAAAAAAAGGTTGAAAACTACTAAAGTATTCCCCACTTCCTATTTTGTTTTGGGATCAGAGATTAGAAAGAAAGTGAACCATCCAATACCCATGAATAAAAAAGACAATAAATTTGTGTAAATAAGGCCTAGTTCAACTTCATTTGGATTTTGTATAGTTTGTAATTTAGTTTGAAAATTAATTTTTATGTGAGTTGTATTATACAAATTGATCAATATATATAATATATTATAAATGATACCTTGTACTCAAAGAACAAGAAAATTGTGCTTTTCTGCATAAATCCCCGAAGTGCCAAATTGCCTTGCCTTTCCAACCGCGCCTAATTTTAACACCACAAACTCACATGATCCGTCTCTTTCTCTCCTCCTGTAGTGCCTCTAGTGGGCACCCACACCCAAAGCCGAATTTATTTTACCCTCCCAAAATCCAACCCCATTGAGAGATCTATCAATGCACCAATTGGGTTTCTGACACACTTAATCTCTTTCATTTCTTCCTATTTAAACCCATTAATAAAACACTCTGCTCTCTCATTATACCTCCACCACCAAAAACTTGCACCTTTACATGGAATCCAACACCTCCTCCCATGCACCATTTTACTGTCCCTTGCCGGACCATCCTTCCGGAAGTGGAGTTCCTCGCCGACGACCTTTGAAGGGTTTAGCCGGCATTCTTGTCTCCGTCATTTTCTTTCTCTCATTGGTTGCAGTAATCATTAACCAAAGCCGAGAACTATGGCCAAAGAAGGAGGCTGCGGAGCCTAATTCGACATCAGAAATTCAAAATGCGGCGGTTTCCAAGGTGGTACCAAGAGGGGTGGCGGAAGGTGTCTCAGCCAAGTCAAATCCAACTTTCTGGAGTGAAGGTTCCTACAATTGGACAAATGCTATGCTTTCTTGGCAAAGAACGGCATACCATTTTCAACCTGAGAGAAATTGGATGAATGGTAGGTATAACTGACTGGTATGGGTTTTACTTTTCTTGTTCAAAAACATCTTTGATTTTATTTTAAATTCGTTTCTGTTAATAGAAGTTAGATGTGTTTTTGCACTTTTTTTATGCTCACTCCAAGAATATTATATTGCACATCAAAATCAGTCTCTTTGTTTTTTGCTAGTTATTTTGTTTGTATTATATGAGTGTTTGGCATTCAAATTTTGGTTACTTTTCACTGATAATTGGTTTTTCGGCTATCTTTTTTGGATAATGATGCTGTTTGGTTGGTGGGAAAATTCTGGATGTCTCTGCTTCAGATCCTAATGGTAAGTCATTTCCCACCACTATAAACAATGATTAAATGTGTAATTTGTTGTCTAGTTTAAATTGTGCATTTCCCAGTTCTAGTTATTTCTTTTGCTTTTAACTCTCCATACAAAGTTATTATTAGAACAAAATACTAGAAAAAAAAAAGAGAAATTAGGAATGCACCCACATGTCCAAACATTTTTAATGTGAGGGCATAGATCTTAATTTTTTAAAATACTAGGAATTGTAAAATTTTTTCTTTTATTTTTTTATTGTAAAATAAAGACATGAGATAAAGAAGGATCCAAAATATCAAAGGACTTATCTTGTTTAATTGTTAGTGCTGTATATTTCGAATTTCACAATTTATTTTATACATGTATATATATAGAGTTTTGAGTTAAAATCTCAAATATTCTAGAATTTTAGCATAGACAAGTTTGTGTATGATAAAGAAAATGGAGTTGAAATGATATTGAGGAGTTTATTTTGGCACTATAACATAGAATCAAGGCCCCCTATATAAGTATTAGGTGTCGTGGTGAAGCGCATGTAGTGTCAGTGGCTGATAAAGTGATAAATAAATAGAGAAATTATGATAAAGGTTTGTGCTTTGAGAGTTCTGAACCAATCAGATAGTGGATCAGTTCACCATACATGATAATGCTAGGCCTACAAGAGAGCTCCGCGCCCACCTTAACTTTTGTCCAATTCGGAGATTATGGGTCTGCCTTTGCCGTGTTTTCCTTGTCTTGTAGGCTGTTAGGATACTTGAACCAACATATTTGATCCTCCTTTGGCATACTCTACAACTTTTGAAAAGGAAATTTCATTCCTGATAGTTTTCTATAAGTGCTGCGCAATTATATAAAGAGAACTTGAAAATTCAGTCCGTAATGGCATGACTGATGTTAAAATTGTCAGTATGGAAAAACCAAAGTCCCATGATCAAGAGTTTAAAACAAGCCTCACTCATCATAAAATTAAATTTTAATGCCAAAGTCGAGATTCACAAATATAATTTTTATTGAGATTTAACCACTAATTGCTAATTTAAAATTTTTAAATAAAAAATTTTACCAAATACTAAATGAATACCATTATGTGATAATTTTTAAATAAAACTGTTAATCTTTAATGCCGGATTACTTTACCAAAGAGCCCTTTAAAATCTAACAGCTACTTTTGGGATTATATGAATGCAGGTCCATTGTATCACAAAGGGTGGTACCATTTCTTTTATCAGTACAACCCTGACTCGGCTGTGTGGGGTAACATCACTTGGGGCCATGCTGTGTCAAAGGATATGATTCATTGGCTCTACCTCCCAATTGCCATGATTCCTGATCAATGGTATGATATCGCTGGTGTGTGGACAGGATCTGCCACGATCTTGCCAGATGGCCAAATCATGATGCTTTACACTGGAGACACCTATGATTCTGTGCAAGTGCAAAATCTTGCCTACCCCGCCAACCTATCTGATCCTCTCCTCCTCGATTGGGTCAAGTACTCGGGTAACCCGGTTTTAACACCCCCATCGGGTATAGAACCAGATGAATACCGGGACCCAACAACAGCATGGATTGGACCCGATGGAACTTGGCGGATCCTAATCGGGTCGAAGGTTAACACGACTGGTGTTGCACTTGTATACCAAACGACTGACTTTAAAAATTACATCCTCCTTGATGGGTATTTGCATTCGGTTCTGGGTACGGGCATGTGGGAATGTGTGGACTTCTACCCGGTTGCGACCAATGGATCTGTTGGTTTGGATACCTCAGCCAGTGGCCCGGGAACTAAGCACGTGTTAAAGGCTAGTTTGGATGACACAAAGGAGGATGTTTATGCAGTTGGGACATATGATCCGGTGCTAGATAAATGGACACCCGATAACCCGGAAGAGGATGTGGGTATCGGGTTGCGGCTGGACTATGGAAGATACTATGCATCCAAAACATTTTTTGACCCGGTCAAGCAGCGGCGGATCCTGTGGGGTTGGATAAATGAAACTGATACTGAAGACGATGACTTGGATAAAGGGTGGGCATCCCTTCAGGTAAATTTTCTCGGGAAAGTTGTTTTCTTGGGAAAATTGTAGAGAAAATGTGCGATCTTGAACATGGGTTTTATGGAATTTTTTTGTTTCTTGTGTTGTACAGACAATTCCGAGGACTGTGTTGTTCGACAACAAGACAGGAACCAACATAGTTCAATGGCCGGTGGAAGAAGTGGAAAGCTTGAGATTGAACAGTACGGTGTTTGAGAAGGTGGTGGTTGGGCCGGGAGAGGTTGTGCCGCTCCACCTCGGTGCCGCCACACAGGTCAGTTTAGTACTGTAAAACCCCTGTTTCGTTGATTCTGTTTGGCAATAGTAAGTGGTAGCATTTTCCTGGAGATTTTGGCAGTTGGACATAATAGTCGAGTTCGAAACAGAATACTTGGAATCAAATTCGACGGATGATGCTGGTGGTTGCCGCAGTGGTGCCATGGACAGGAGCACTTACGGGCCATTTGGGCTCTTGGTTATTGCCGATGAATCGCTTTCCGAGCTAACCCCGATATATTTCCGGCCGTCTAATAGGACTAGTGGCACCTACTTTTGCGCCGATGAAACAAGGTTTGCCTTTTGAGTTCCTCTTCCTCCTTAGCTCCATCCCTAGTACCAAACGGTCGAATAATGATAATATGATTGCACACCAACTCTTCGATGCAGGTCCTCACTGGCTCCCGAGGTCTTCAAAAGAGTTTATGGAGGCAAAGTTCCCGTGCTTGATGATGAAAATTTCACCATGAGAGTACTGGTAAGCAATAATTGGTCTGATAGTTATGCCATGAATAGATTCAATTAAAATTGATGAGGGCCTAAGGATAGTGTCAATGTCTAATGAACTAACACTCTAGACGATCATGGATGAATCAGGTTAGCCTGCCCTGCTAAGGTGGTCAAGAATTAGGATCAAATACCATTTTTCAAATTCATTTTAAATGAAGAAATGAGAGGGTTGCTAAACTACCATAATTCAGTATCAAAACATTAGGTTAGGAAGCTTTAGTAGCATGTTAAGAACTAATTCACCTATTAAGTTGTCAGAGAACAATGATGTGACAGTTTTATGAGTTTTCAAACAAAGATACAAGTATAATATTTAATCTGTTGCATTTTGTACTAGAGGTGTTGATCTTGTTGTGAAAACCTTTTCTTTTCCTCTCGAAAAGGTTGATCATTCAATTGTGGAAAGCTTTGCACAAGGAGGGAGGACAGTGATCACATCCAGAATTTATCCAACAGAGGCCATCTATGGAGCTGCACGACTGTTCTTATTCAACAATGCAACCGGAGTAAATGTAACAGCTACATTGACAGTATGGCAAGTGAACTCTGCCTTTATTCACCCTTTCCCCTTCGATCAGATGGAGAAATACGCGTCATCCTGAGGTATTTGATTCCTTCAGTAATTCCATTTAGTTGCCAGTTATTTACAAAATTTATGGCAACTGCAATATGTTAGCCTATTGTTTCATATGTTTTTTTGGTGGGGCTGCCATTCAGCTCTTGCCTCTTGTATTATTGTATGCATGCTCTTCTGCGATATCTGTGGTTTCATGAAGAGAATAATGTCAATTTTGGTCCTTTATATTCAATTGCACAAAAATAAAATGGCTACCTTAGTTTTTGGTAACTAAATGTAAGTTTTCTGGATTTCGCTTCCTTTTTTCTCTTGATATTTGGGATAGAAATTCGAGTCTAATAAGACCTTGTGAACTTCTGTCTGTTTTGTGACCACCAAAGCAAGGTCTCATCTCCTGGAATATAATCTCCTGCTTTATGGTAAAAAAAAAAGAAGAAAACAACAACAAATTAAGGTCTCATCTACCTCTTCGCATTTTATAATGATGGAATTGTATAGATATTTTAGGGCTAAATTTAATGAATAGTTTATTAATTATGTGATTTATTTCAGTTTAGTTTATAAATAATTTTTTCTTTCAAAATGATTTATAAACTATCAATTTTGTTTCAAAATGATCTACTTGACAAACATTTCGTTAACTTAGACTAACGAATTGTTCCGCTAGACAAGTTGGCGTAGACAAATTGCTCTTTAAACTTTTGAAAAATATTAAATATGGTACATATATTTTTATTTTTTTTATAACATTTCGTTTTTAAAGTTCAAATTTTTGTCAAATGTAATAATTAAGTAAAATGAAATCTCAATTTACATTAATTAAGATTCTAATTTTAATTTACAATAATTAATATTATAATTAAAATTTTATTTTTTCTAAAAAA